AATTCAACAGTACATTTTTATAGCAAAATGACCAACAATACATTTTATGATCAACAAACTATGCATCTAAAAAACATGCCTTTTACTCTGAAAGTATAAAATTATGTACAAAATACTTAGATTTCGACATTGAATAACCCATAGAGATGTTGATATGCCGCTAAAAGTAACCAACCAATCAACCAACCAATTCACGATGCAAATTCGACCAAATACAGAGACTTACTTAATCTTAGCAAAACGTCTCGAACAAGCGCGTAAAATTCAATTATTTTCGTGTGAAATGCCTTATTTTAGCAACGTGAAGAAATTTATTTTGTTTTTAACACTTTTCTTGTCTTTTTCCAGACTTCCTTTTCCACAAATCCTTTGTCTCAAGTGACATCAGCGACGTATGAAAGCACGGCAGAATTATGCGATCACCTGAACGAATTATCGATTATGGATCGCAAAACAAGCAAACGGCCACCCAATCATTATTTATGTCATCTCTGCTTCAGTAAAGGACATTACATCAAAGATTGTCCACAGGTAAAAAAAAGTCTCTTACTTTCTGGAATTAATGCAGTTATAGTTTTGCTTTTGTGTGTGTGTGTGTGTTTTTTTTTAAGTCCTCCTTTCTCTCTTATTTGAAAACCGCTTTTCGCTCATTTTCAAATACCTCCCTTCTTTTCTTTTTTTTTTCTTTTGTAACACTTTATTTTGTCCTTTTTTTTTTTAAATCCTTTCGCCCATTTTTCGTATCTTGATTAAAGCAAGAAACAAATTAAATCGAATTTTCACATTACGTCACTTTAAAAAAAAATGAATCTTTTTTTTTTTCCCCTGACAGGGCGGGTTGGGTGATCAAGTGCTAAGGAAAATGGCATTTTCTTTTTCCTTCATGAAAAAAAAAATCTAGGTGTTTCCATTCTGATAAAAGATAGTACCCGTATAAAAAAAAAAGTCCCTGGATTTGTTTAGCTTTAAATTCTCGAGTTTTTCATTTAATAATCAGTAATCATCGCATGCTGGGTGCCTAAAATAGTACACTTGTGGGCAAAGTTCGCCTAGCCTATTTTATTGTAGCCTTATGACAGACAAGTTAATCTTAATAGATAATTGTATCTCATTTTTATGTATTTTGTTGTTGTTGTCGGTGTTTCTTTTTTTTTTTTTTTACAGTGAGTTTCACTCTGTACAAGGCCGGGGAGCAACTCGAGGTAGAGTAAGAGGCAGGGTTTATTTAGATATGTGGGGAAAATAACGGTTAGACTTGATCACGTTATGAATGTAGTGATCGGGAAAACATCGTCTTTCGGTTCCACAGGGCAGTGGTTTGATGGAAGAAACTATTCGAGTGAAACATACTTCTTCCCAATAGAATACGGGTGGGGGGATGGGTGTCGCTACAATGTGTGTATCATGGCGAGTCTTAGCCGTGAAGTTTAGAACTGGTGGAACTAAGGAATGTAATTCGTCTGAGCGATAGAGCTGTGACGGGCTTGCGACATTTGTGACAGAAGTAATTTAGGGTGGAAAATAATTTGTTACTCACAAGGATGCGGAGGCGCTTTTATACTCGAAACTAGAAAGTGAGGTGTGGGTAACTCCTTCCCAAATATGACTCCAGTACTCGATCTGAATCTTAATGTTAAAGTAGAGGATAGTACGAGGAGTCAGGTACTTACTGCAACGGTACAGACAACCGACAATTTTTAGCGATGGATCGTTCCACTTGAGGTCTGGGTTGAGTTTAAGGACTAATAGTCACTCAGGGCACGGGACCAGCCTAATTTGTGTTATTTTAGTAAAAAAATAATGAAAAGAATACGAACTCTTTTTCCTGATGAAGGGGAAAATATTGTTTGTTCTTTTTTATTAAATTTTTGTAATTCTTTTGAAATCATAAATTTTAAATCAAAATTTGTTTATCTTGCCTCTCAACTCCAGCCCTCAGAATGAACAATTACTAAAAATCAGGGAGTTATTCATATTTCGTAAGTACAAATGATATTCGAGGTACTTACAAGGAATTTTTTTACAATTTAAAAAAATAAATAAAAATCTGTTTTTGACTTGTTTATCGGGGTGAGCGTGAATGTAGACTCCACACTGAGAAATAGTGCACTCGAGTTGCCCAGATTTGGGGCGATCGCAAAGGTCAACCCAACCGCAGTACAAAGGAAGGGCCTAACTCTGGGAGAATTTGGTATGAATTTGAGTAAATATAAAATCTTTTTTATTTTAGGGTGATTTAATATTTTGGGTGAATTAACAGAAAAGATCCCAATATTATATGTTTCAATTACGTAAGACACTAAATTAATATATTCCCCAATATTTGATCATATTACCATATTCACGTGTGTAGAGAAATGTCGATGAATATAAGTAATTCGCGAAACTTATACAAAATCCTGGTTCGTAAAATGTGTTCTATTTGAAAATACATTTTTGCTTTTGACTCGAAACTTTTGTTAGATAAAAAATTGTATAAAAATGATCTTCCAGTTATCGG